CCGAAGTCAACTAAAGGGCTAATGATACCTATCATAACGCCTGCCATTTGAAATAAATAAATATATTAAAGATTTCCAATTCGTGGAGGTTAGTCATGCATTATACAGCATGACTAATGAGGCGCATCCAGAAAGTGTGAACAAACCTGCTGATGCGTAGCTCGTCGAAACTGCTCAAAGGAAATACGAGAATGGAGAATGGCCAAAGTGTCGATCCACACTCGCCAACCACCAAATTCAAAGCGGAGAGCGTAGAAGAGCAAACACCGCAGAATTTCCATCACTGTCGCCGTCGCGTAACTATTCTGTTCATTCTGAGGGAAAAGAGAGGCCAGGCCAATTATCCAATCCTGCCATACTGACATCTGCAACACCGAGCTGAAATCAATGAGGAAATGTGATAAGAATGTCTTGGAAAGGCCTGCTGTAATGAGGACTCATTTACTCGCTAATCAGTCAATAACCGACATTTCACAAAATAAAAGTGCAATTGGAATCCTCATTCTCCTTGACCTAGAGTGGGTCTATTCTTTCAAATGCAAAAGTTTCATTTAACAGTACTACGTGCCAATGAAGTGAAAGCAAGACACATCGATGATTATTCAAGGTTTAGAGCGTGTACAAAAATTTTTTTTTTGGAATGGGTGTTCAAGCAAGACCCCAAAAGACCATCCAGAGAGAAAACAGGTCAAGGGTCAATATCGCAATTTAGCGAAAAGTGCTTGAAGAGATGGGATGAATTCAAATTTACAAAAAAATGCAAAAATAATATTTCATTCCGTATGAGAACTGCATCATGAAGAAATTGAACGGAGAAAATAGGATAATTAATAGCACCTAATCTTGCTGTTTAAAATAACAAATTGCTTCCGTTTTAGATAAAATTATGAATTTCCTCATTAGCTGCTTTTAGAAAGTCGAGGAGCAGAAGGCAGGTAGATTATTTGAAATCATTCACAGAAATTAAGGTAACCCTCGATCATCTTTAAAGACAATAGGGGGGGGGGGATGGAGGGGTTATTGATAATTTGGTAGATTGCCAAATCAGATCAAATACGAACGACGCATTGCAGCACCTCGAGAAGGGAGACATTGAACGTTGCCGTCAAGAAATCCCGTCAAAAGGTAATTGAAACTCCAGACATGAGATAAAGAATGTAGAAATTTTGGAAAATAGGATATGTGCAACTCTAATGGCTTACTTGAAACGCGGTTAGGGTTGGAGCAACAATAGTTCGCTATTTACCGGGAGAGGAAGCAATAGCAGTCAAAACTTCATTTCGTGACGATTAAGATCCTATTAGTATTATTACACACAGACAGAAATCCAATAAAACTTGGATTGTGCGACATTAATAATTAAATAGGCGGTTAGCGTTCCAAAATTTAAACCTCATCACCACTCGCTAACCTATATAGCGGTAACTGTCTGGCTACGGTGATCAGTGCTCTTGGTTGGTTAGGAAAATGATTCAACGTGACGTTCAACTTCTTACGGTTTATTAGTAGCAGAGATAAGATAGTTTAACATTTTAA